AGTAGGCTAGATTATGGAGAACCTTGGATAACTGGCCAAGAAAGATTTTTTCTTAGATACAGTGGGGAGGGAGTCATCAAGAGAATTCGAGACTTAGCCTGCGGCTGTAATCACCATTTACTTCCGTGTTTGTTGTCTCCAACTAGAGTGAGACCCATGGGAATAAGGAAATACGTCTGTCTTGGGTATTGTAGCAGCTAAGGAGACTAAACACCCAGGAAGAAAGAAAGCAAACTAGCGGGAGATGGATCGAGACTTGGAGAGACTGGAAGCAGAGAGACGAGAGGCTAGTAAGGTCACCATGCGGCATAACCGCCTTAAGTCTAGGTACACTCACTCGTGGAGTGAGTATTGGTGCCAGGCCCTGTGTTAGCTACACAGGGATGGCACAGCACCTGAGACAGACGGAGTTCCCATGGATCTCACTCTCGCCAAGGATAAGAGACCCCCAAATAAATGACAATGACAGGGCATGGTCAGTGCTTTGGGAGGGGGCAGTGTCTGCAGAGTCCCAGACGAGCAGAAGGGGGTGGGTTTAAGCCAGACTTGGTTGGTTGGAAAAAGCTTATTTAAGGAGTCAGGGGCCAAGACCCGCAGGATGGATAAGAAGGGAGAGAGGAGGAGGCCAGAGAAGAAAGGGGACTTGGTGCGCTTAGGGGAGGGGTCTGGGGCATCATGCCCAGTCTTGTGAGCCAGGATCAGTGGGATCCATTGAAGTGTTCTAAGCAGGAGGCTGACACAGTCAAGTTTCCATTTATACAGTTCACTCTGGTTGAAATTAGAATGGGTAGAAATAAGGAAGTTGGTAGAAATAGAGATGAGTTTGAACACAAGTAATGTTGACTTTGAGATAGAGGGGTCTTCTGAATATGAGTATCATGACAGTTGAACGGCTGCTTTCAATGGCTCTATCAGGTCAGATCTGCTGTAGTTCAGCAGAAGAAATCTGACATGAGGGACGAGGTGCAGAAGTTTTGGCAGAGCTAAGTGAGCAAACAGGACAGTGAGACAACAGAAGCAAGCTGCTCCCACCTCTGGGGAAGGAGGGACCGAGGGAGCCCAGGTGCTGGGCCACCTGCAGAAGCTAGAGCCACAGAGGAGTCACACCCACTGCTGCCTGTGCCAGAGGGGTGAGGGGAGAAAGACCCTGGCTCCTCTGCCCTCCTCTTCCAGTCTCCCTCCAGCGCCTCCCACTGGCCAAACCTAAGTGGAAACCAGTGGGCACCGGCCTGGGAAATGTAGTTTACGAGGGCAGCTCCTGTTATACAGAGTAGAACAGAGGAAGGGTCAAGAGTGGATCTGAGGGGCCAGCCCCCTGGCTGACTGGTTAAGTTCATGTGCTCTGCTTCGGTGGCCCAGGGTTTACCAGTTCGGATCCTAGGCAGACCTATACATCGCTTGTCAGGCCATGCTGTGGTGGCATCCCACATAGAGGAACTAGAATGACCTGTAACTAGGATATACAACTATGTACTGGAGGTTCGGGGAGGGAAAAAAAAAAAAAGGAAGATTGGCAACAGGTGTTAGCCCAGGGCCAATCTTCCTCACCAAAAAAAGAAAAAGAAAAAAAGAGTGGATCTGAGAGCAAATAGGCAAATGAGGAGCACAACATCTACCACAAAATTATGTCCCTAGTGCAATAAAGGCTCTCAAAGATCTGATAGCCCCACATAACCTGAGAGAATCTCTCCACAGGTTCAGGAATGGTTTAGATAATAGACTCAGGTGTCAGAGAACCTGGCTTCTTACACTCTGCTTTCAAGTCAGAGCGTCAGTTCACTTTGAGACCATCCCTATTTTGGGTGGAGTCTATGCTGATGGACCAAAGTTATAGCTTTGATTGCAGAGAAAAGTTCAAGTTCTGCAGGTGCATACTGTCCTTCCCCTTCTTGCCATTTTGCAGACCAGGGCCCTTTGTTAGAGGGGGGATGAGGCAAGAGAGAAGCAGGGGTCCATGCAGCCCCTTTTTCTCCTGGAGAAACATGACAGAGTTTGTGTCCCAAGAATGTGAAGGGAGAGGCCTGAGCAGTGTGCTGCTCTGGCCGGCTGTGAAGAGAAGAGGTCTGGTGGCCTTTGCCATGAAGGCTCTTAGCTGCTGAGCCTGACCCAGGCGCGCGACGTGTGTATGATCTGTTTCCCAAGCTCAGGCGTGTCTGGAGGCATCTATCTGCAAGACAGGGTGTGTGGACCTGAGACTTCCGTGCACAGTGATGAAAGGTAGCTTTTCTCTGTTCCTAATTTTTTTCTCCTTGACAGGACGGAGATGTTGTAGCCCCACTAATAACACCTCTAAAAAAGGAGTGGAATTGCACGGATTCAGCCCAGAGTCCAGCTCGCATCCGAGAAGCATCCAGATTGAGAGTCCGGCTTTTTCCGGATGACTCGTGAATGTCTGCAGTCAGTGTTTACAAAAAACCCTCTCCCCTTCCCCAACACAATTAACTAATTTAGGGAATTCAATCATAGAGTTCTACAAATTTAGTGACAACTAGTGCTTTTTATTCTATGTTTTGAATGTACATACATGCTGAGGCCAAGCAATTATTTTTGAGGTAACACTGGTTTACAACATTACTGAGGTTTCAGGTGCGCAGCCTTATAATTCGACATCTGCATGGACTACGTTGTGCTCACACCGAGTCCAGTTTCCGTCCGTCACCAGACGCTCGACCTCCTTCACCCGTTCCGTCCTCCCCCACCCCCTTCCCCTCTGGGAACCACCAGTCTGTTATCTGGGAAGCAAAGTAATTTTTATTCAAAGAAACAAAAAAGTGTTAGGTAAGTCTTGCTATACATGCTATGAAAAGCATTACCTTGCCTATTTTTAGTATTAATGAAAGCCTTCTCCTTTAGTAGTCTATTTTCTTAGGATAACAATTCTTTTATGTACTCTGAGCTCTTATGACGTATGATTGTTTTTTAAAAAAAAAATTGGAAATGAGACAAGGGTGCACATTGGAATTTGAAATTGGGATTGTCATGAACAGCCAGGGTTAAAAACAAAATAGAACACCCTGGCTCCCTGAGAAGGTGCCCGTCACCCTGAATTTGAGGACAGCTCTCCTGGGTGAGCTCAGCGTCAATGAAAGGCAGCTTCCCCCAGCCCTTCAGCCAGGTTGGGGCAAACAGGAGGGGATGAGGGCCGGAGTTGGTTCCAGCTCTTCGGTGAGAGGCCTGATTACTTTACTGAAAAGATCTGAGGGCTCTGGCCTCCTCTGAAGCGGGACATAAAGCTACCTTTGAGGAGACCCCTCCACTAGTGACAGAGGGACCCCCAAACCAGGCTGCTCTCGGGGTCAGCCTGGGCTCCAGACTGGGCAGTTTTTCTCCGGAATATTCACTGCCAGGTCCCTAGGGCTTTACTCCTGCCCAGCCTGGAGGAGGCGGCTCCCCTCAGGCAGCTCTCTGCAGCCCCTGTGAACTGATCAGAGGCTGTCATGGCGGCCATCCTTGGGGCCACTCAGAGCTGGGACTGTCCATTTTATGGCTTTGGAGCAAAGACTGAGCTGCTCTGCCGAGATGAGTGAACCCAGTGAATTCCAGGCTCCCCTTTGTAACTTGATGTTCCCAGCACCTGCTCTTTACCTCCAGCAGTGGAGTGGGCACCCCTGTGGCTGAGCACTGTTCCTGTGCCCAGGGCAGCCCCCCCTTCCCCCCAAACATCCCCAGTTCTACAGAAATTCGCCAAGAACAGTCTGGAGTTGGAGTCAAAGCAGTGCCTCCAAAGCATACAGTGGGGAGAACTGTAGGGCTCAGCTTTCGTGTACCCAGACCCAAGGTCAAGAATGTAATTTTTTTCTGCTAAGATTGTTTTATTTCTGCAACTCCTACCTTTAAATCATTGTGGTTTACTCTGCAATTTTGTGTCCCGACATTGTATCATTGTGCTGTCTGAGAAACAACTTGAATGTGTTTTGTTGGCATCTTCTGTTACATATCAGGCAGCTGCACTCTGTGCGCTTTGCAACTGTTTTAATTATGAGAACCCTGTGCGGTTTACAAGGTTACATTTTTCTTAAGAAACATCTTCACTATTTGTATAAAAATGGAGGCTTGAACAGCTTAGTCTCCAGAGTTACTGAACGGTGTTGCCTTGAGAATGTAAACAGAACTGCGAGTTTAAGTGACGGGTTACTCCGTTTGGGTTGGGGGAACAGCTGCAATAAAGCCTCGTCCATCTGGAAACCAGAGGTGTCTTCCTTAATGACTTTCTCTCACACCTGCGTGTCCAGTGTTGACCCTTTTGTGCAAAGGAAATGTGTCTGGGAATCTACTCAGATGTTTCTTAGTACCTCAACGCGATGCTGGCTCTGTGAGAGAGGGGCTGGTCTTAACGGGGCCTAAGCTATTTGGTTTTCCTCATTCAATAATGCCAAGTAATGGCAGAATAAAGAATCTTTTCCATCTGGCAGGAGGTAGGCACTAGCATAGGAAGGAATGTGGGATTCTCTTAGTTTTCTGAGCTCCTGTTGTGCCAGAAAGGAGAGCCGCCTTCTCTCTTAACCTTCCTGAGGTTCCCATCTATGGAGTTTCAACTTTGTCCAAATAAGCATATTGTTCATTTGCTGCTTTCATATCTTCCTCGTGAAATTAAATAAGAGATCTGCAAGCAGCTGTCACACTGGTGGCAGACAGAAAGCCCTCGGTGATCTCCTAGAGTCCTTATTAAAAGTTTCACTGGTTGAGTCTAGGTGTCTAGTTTGACAGTATTCTTTAAGTTAAAACAATTTCCAAAACATATGCTCTAGACTCCCTTTCTTTTCTTTTTTCTTTTTTTTTTTTTTGAAGATTAGCCCTGAGCTAACTACTGCCAGTCCTCCTCTTTTTTGCTGAGGAAGATTAGCCCTGAGCTAACATCGTGCCCATCTTCCTCTACTTTATATGTGGGATGCCCACCACAGCATGGTGTGCCAAGCGGTGCCATGTCCGCACCCGGGATCCGAACCGGCGAACCCCGGGCCACCAAGAAGCAGAACGTGCGAACTTAACCCCTGCGCCACCGGGCTGGTCCCTAGACTCCCATTTTTGTAAGATGTATATATATATATATATATCTCCATGGAAAATTGGGAGAATATACATGAAAATGTTAGTGTTTTGGGGCGTGGTTGAATTTTAGGCAATTTTAATTTTTTTTATGTCTTCTGGTTTTTCTACAATAAACACATCTAATTTCTAAAAAGATAATTTTCACAAGGGACTTTGCGCAGCTCGGCTGGAGTAAATATCTTTCACTCCTTCAAAGTTACCTTTCCGGGAGAACGTTGCCTGCCTCCTTGCCTGTCTTGGGTCCCCAGGCCACAGGGAGGCTGCCTCACAGCCACAGTCAGCAAGCACTAGGCCACGTCACCATCCGTGTTCCAGACAGAATGGGCTGCCCTGTGCAAGGGAGGCCTAGATGGCACCCACGAGCAGATCCAAGCTCCTGTAGCCTCAGGAGGCTGCCCACCATGGGGGTATCAGCTCAGAACCCAGGCCTCCAGCTCCTTGATGCAGAACTGCTCCTGCCGGGCCAGCACCTCATTATTGAAGGTGGCACAGGGGTGGCTTCCCCCGTGGTACAGGTCTCCATCCAACCACAGCCCAAAGTGGCCACTAAAGAGAAGAGGAAAGTCAGCACAGCTCACTCCTGGGCATTGGGACCTTCCAGATCCACACCATCAGCCCTTGGCCACACCGTGACCATAGCCCCATTTTGCCTGTTTCATCTTCCTTTAGACTGATTTATCCTGAATTGTTGGGAACTCCACCTCTGTTCCCCACAGGGCTTAGAGCACTTTCTTTCTAGAGTTTATTGATTTTAATAAACATATACAGTGGTGCAACCATCAACACAATCCACCTTTAGGACACTTGGGACGTTTTTGAGATGGCCATGTGTCACAGAAAGAGTGACTCTCACAGGTGCGGACTCGGCCCGGAACGCTTCAGAGAGCATCCTTCGTCCATCCCAGTCCCCTCATTTGACAGCAGACGAGGCTGGAGCTGGGAAGAGGGTTACTGCAGGTCAGCAACAGCTGACCCTCAGTGGAGGCTTCGGTGCTAATCAGCAATGCCTTCCTCCTTGCCCTCAGGATAAGGTTGATTCTGCCTGAATTTGCAGGTCACACCAGGGGCGAGACTAACCTATTCTTCCCAGTTCTGCACCTCCCGTCCCCCAGCACACGTGGACCGGGCTCTGGGCTGACGCCCGCCCTCCTCCAATGAGTTATGTTCCCTGGGGTTACGGGGCTGATGGGTAAATCTGGGGCTTGCCCATCCCTTGACTCCAGCTTCATCCAGCCATGTGGAATGCTGTTCCTAAAGTTACATAAACTCAGACCAAGCTGTCACCAACTGTAGACGCTCTAGGGGAGAGTTCACCCCATCCTTTCCCCTCGGCGTTGACTCAGAGCCCGGGTGAGGGGGTTGGCCAGAGCAGCATCCTGGGGCGGTGAAGGCAGAGGCCTGAGTGAACCACCAGTCTCCCCATCTGGTCTGCGGCAGCCGGGCCCAGCATTTCCAGACAGGAGAAGGGACCAGAACACAGACCACCTGAGGCCCAGGGAGGACCGGGACACGCACCTGCCGCTGCCCATCATCAGTGAATCCAAGTCTCCTTTCACAAAGAAAGAGTTGCTTCCCGTCCACTTGAAGACCTGGGGTGGCAGGAAAAGGCTCCGGTTACTGGGCGAGTGAGTCCTGCCCTTGCAGGTTGAGTGTACGCCACTAGGTGACAGTGTTGTGGCGGGAACAGAACATCCTGGGCTGGAGATTTCTTTCCAGTCTCCCCAGAGCTCGTGTGTGTCCTCCAGTCTGAATTCCAACAACCCCAAAGCCCCTCTGCTCTAGGAACAGACCAGCACCCTGTGCGGCCTCCTGCTCCCAGAGCTGGAGGGAGGAAGGGAGGCCCTGATTCTGCCGTTAAGTACCTCATCCCTCTCCGAGGTGACACCAGGCCTGCCTGATCCCAGCGTGGCCCCACACCCAGCTCCTCAGCTAGTCCTGTAGGCCCCACTCCAGAGAGACACCCCCACGCCACCATTCCTGTCCTGTTCGTCTCCACTCACTCCTGCCCCCCAGTCCACACCACCGTCCCTGCGCTGGATCACAGCCTCCTGACAGGTCCGGCCTCCTCTGCCTCCTGCCCACAGCCCCTCAGCCCCGAGACCCATGTGAGCCGTTCAGAGTCCAGTCGGACATTATCACTCCTCTGCCTAAAGCCCCCGGTGGCTTCCCATTGTGAAGGGAATAAAATCCGACTCCTCACTGTGGCCGAAAGCCCACCTGCTCTGACCCCTGACTCTCTCTCTGGCCTCTCCCTCATTGACTGACTTTGGCTGCGCTGGCCTTTCTCTCCCCGGGACGCCCAAAGCTGTTCCTGCTTTAGCACCTTCCTGCCTGCCGCTCCCTCTGCCCAGAATGCTCTTCCTCCACATCCTCAAATGGCCCCCCTCTCCTCTTTCAGCCCAGCTGTCCTTTCAGAGAAACTTCCTGGACCACCCCATCTAAAGCGCCCTTCCTCCCAGGCCCTGTTTCCTTCTCCTCGGCGTTCACCACTCTGAGGTGACCCGTTCGTGCGCCAACGTGTCACTGACTGCCCCTCTGACATGGAAGCTCTGTGAGGGCCGTCTTGATCCCTGGCTGTATTCTTGGCATGGGATATAGATGTTTGTTGAATGAATAAATTATTCAAGAGTCAATTTAGCTCGTAAAAAGACTTTTAAAGGGCCACAAGAGTAAAGTATATTATTGCCTGTCATTAGTTGCAAAAAAAGCTGTGAGCAACCAAAGGATTTTTAGCAAGAAAATGGACTAATAACAGATAAGCCCTGGGCTCAGAAGAGATGAGATAATATTAACAAGTGACCTCGAGAAGACGGACCGGTTTAGCTCCTCCTCCATTTTCATCCAGGAACACGACCTTCAACCCTGACGGAGTAAGAAATGCGTTGCTGCAGAAGATGTTAAGCCGCATTTATGGTGCTGCTCGGAATAGCGTTGGAGGAGCTGCTGGGAATTCACGAAGAACGCAAGAGGCGCCAGGAGACTGAAGATGGGTGAAAATCAACCAACTTTTGAAAAGATGAGATTCCATAATGATAGGCTGGGAAGAGAGAGAGTGATCCCCTGAAAAAATCATTTATTTCATTCAAAAAAATTTTAGCATTTAGCACTGTTTTGGGCACTGAGTCAAACAGACAAAAATTCCTGCCTCATGGGACTCCCAGTCTAGTGGGAAGAGGCAGATAAATCAGTAAAAGAAATAGTATGTTAGGTGGTGATGCTCAGGAGAAAGAAGTAGAGAAGGGCCATGGGGTTTCCAGGGGGTGGGGTGTTGTAAATTTAAATCAGGTGGTCAGGGAGCACCTCACCGAGATGGTGACATTTGAGCAGAGTCCTGAAGGAGGTGAGAACTGAGCCATGTGGAGATCCAGTGAAAAGCATTCTAAGCAGAATAACACGTGCAAAGGCCCTGAGGCAGGAGCAGGCCTGCATGTTTGAGGACTAGCTCAGAGGTCAGTGTAGCTACAGCAGAGTGAGGGAGGGGAAAAGTATCAAGAAACGACATCAGAGAGAGGCCAGAAGATATAGATAGGGACTTGTAGGTTATTGTAAAGACTTTGGCTTTTCTCTGAGTGAGAAAAGAAACCATTGGCAGCTCAGAGCCAAGGAGTGACATGCTCTGATGTAACTTTTAAAATGATCACTGCAGCTACCGTGATGACTGAAGGTGGAAGCAGAGAGACAGGCAGTAATGATGGTGGCCTGAGCCAGGGCAACCGCCACGGGCATGGTGAGAAGTGGTTCTGGATATAGATAGAAAGAGAAGGCAGAGCTGTCAGGATTCGTTGACAGCTCAGATGTAGGGTGTGAAAGAAAGAGAGGAGTTAAGAAGGACTCCAAAATTTCGGTCTCAGCAGCAGGAAAGATAGAGGTGTCATTGGCCCTGCTGGGGAAGATGGCGGGAGGAGCAGATTTTGTGGGGCACAGTCAGGAGCTCAGCTTCGGCCACGTGAGGCTTGAAATGCCATGGTTGGGATCCAAGTGGTGACAGTGGGTGGCGGTTGGACATATGTGAGTTTGGAGCCCAGGGGAAGGGCCATCAGCACACAGACAGCAGGGAAAGCTCTGAGAGTGACTAGACCTAGTCAGAGAAGAGATGAGAACCAAAAACTGAGCTCTAGGACCCTCTGACATTAGAAAGCAGGGAAGATGAGGAGGAACCAGCAAAAGATCCTGTCCAAGAATTTTCAGTGCAGTAGGAGGAAAATTCTAGAATTTCAGAATTCTAGTATGTAAATTGAGGAAGGCAAGTGGGGGTGACTCGTATCCAGCATGGGTTCACCATGAATAACTGGCCCTTTCCTGTTTCCTGATAAGACTGCCAGGCTGGCCATCGGAAGCAATGCAACAGCGCTGTGTTTTGCTCCTTGTGACCTTGTCGTGTGACCAGACGATTGTGTGGCTGGATGTATCTGTGGGTGTCTGGCTCTGTGCATTGGAGAGGGGGGGGTCTCTAACACCAAACCAAGAACTAGGAACTAGTTCTTCATCCATTGAACAAATACTTCTTGAGGGCACGCGTGCCAGTGCAGAGGGCTACGCCCTCCCTCACACACTCTGACTATCCCCCCCGACAGCCCCATCTATTGGGTTCCTACACAGGCCGCTTCTCACCAGTTTCTGTGCCTTCCACATGCTCCAGGAAGACTGCTCCCTGCACCCTTCATCACCTGGGGATCCTCTGATTGTCCATCAAGACCCAGCTCAAGAAGCTCCTCCTCTAGGAAGTCTCCCTTGATCTCCGCACCCCCATTTGATCTAGGTGCTCCTCCTCACACTTCTCCCACAGCTCTTATCACTCTATATGTGATCAGCTGTCCTCTCCCAGCCTGGGAGCACCTCTAGGCAGGGACCTTTTGTCATTTAGAGGGGTGGGGTAGTGCTGGGGCTGCATTCCAGCTCCAGGGTCTGTTTCCCCATCTCATCCTCACCACTGATTTAGCTGTGTGAGCTTGGGCAAGGTTCTCAGCCTCTCTGTGCCTCGGTTTCCTCTCCTGTAAGATGGGGCTGACAATAGCGTGTACCTCATTGGGTTGTTGTGATGATTAAAGGCTCTAATTTGTGAAAGTCTCAGAACAGCGGCTGGCAGGCAGCAAACTGGTCCGTGTCAGCTGCCGTTATTTTTATAGTAGTAAAGGCAGTCTGCTGCGTGCCAAGCATGCGCTCAGTGCTTTTATTCAGTAAATGGCCTAGAGAAGGAAAAGCTTTAGATGGGAGATGTTTGGGACTGTTCTCCTCCCTCCTTTAGAAGCCCCACTGCCTGGCAGCTGGTGCCATCTGAGTGTACCTGTCCCTGTCTCTCATCCGTCTCCTAGTCACCAATGGTCATTAATCAGAGACTCGAGCTCTAGCTCACCGTCCTCCCGTCCTTCCCAGTTCCTGTCACTGTCCTCGGTGAACTTCACCGTCCACATGGACCCGCCCAACGTAGCCCCTCAACGCCTGCTACTCAGCTCCCCTCCTCATCCTCTCCAGTGGGTTTCCTTACACCCACCTCAGCCACTGTCCCCCAGGGTCACACCCAGGATTTGTCCTCACCCCTCTGTTTCAAGCATCCCTGTTTCTGTATCTTGTGTTCCAACACGCTACCCAGCTGGGGTCACTGCTCCGAGTCTCTGACCTCAAGCCAGCCTCTCATCTGCTGCTTCCATTTTTGTCTCCCATCCCTCAGCCCCCCTCTGGCTCCCCTCCCCGCCTTGTTTGGTCTAGGGTCTGTGGTCCATTTTATGTTTCCACTCCCTTCAGCCTCCATTTCCCTCTCTCCCTCTCTTAAACCTGCTTGGCAAACCCCTCTCTATCTCCCCCTGTCCACGCCCCTCCCCTGTGTCCTGGATGCGTGCTCCCCCCCCCACTCCGTGCCTGAACCCCACGAGCTGAGTGTGGCAGGAGGAAAGCGCACGCCCCAGTGCCCGGCTTGCCGTTGAACTCTCACTCTCAGCCCACAACCAGCGCTGCCAGCTGTCCTTTCTCTAGTTTTCTAGGCTTCCCTTTCCGCTCCCCGTGATGAGTGATGCCTTCACTCCCCTCAACCTTCACACCCTCTCCCCCGTCCTCACTCTTAGCTGATAACCTCACCCCATACTCCCTAAGAAAATCGAAGCCATTGGATGTGTCCGTCTTCATCTTCCTACCCCTATGCCCACAGGTCTACCTGCAGTTGGACCCATCTTGCCTTTCTAGCCTGTGTCTGGTGAGTAACATCCCTCCTCCCCTCAGAGCCCGTCAGTGGTTGCCAGGGACCTCCTGAGCATTTGTAAAAATGAAGATGGGCAGGCCAAGGGGGATGCTCCACCCACCATTGCCCTGTCACATTCCCTTTGGGGAAAGATGGAAGGACATCAGACACCCCCAGCAGGCGGTATGGAGGTGGGGGCCACTGGGACCCCAGGATCTTTGTCATAAACCCCACTTTCCTCCCCTGCCCCCCCCCCAGGGGAAGGTTGGGAATATCACCTTCAGCTGTGGGGAGAAGGAGAAGAGGAATGTCTCTCCAGTACCGTAGAAGCCTTTGCTGAGTCGAATAGCTGAGGAGGAGAAGGCCCCAAACATCTGGAAAGCAGAAGAAAGCAGTTTGCAGCTGGAAGGGAGTTGGAGGTCCTCTGGCAACTCCACTCTCCGGGCTTGGTGATACAGGCTCATCCCGGAGGGGCACCTGGGGAGCCTGGGGCAGAGCTGGGGGATGAGGAGGCCCCCATGCGCCCACCAGCGTGCGACTTTTCCTGTAACATTCCCCAAGGACAAGCTCCTGCTGGTGTTCTCCTACTTTTTCTTAAATGTACTTATTTTATGCAAGTAACCCTCATAGAAAAACATTGGAAGTTATAGACAAGCAGAAAGAAAAAATAAAGCTACCCCAAATCCCCCTCTTCCTTCCCAGGAAAACTATTCTTAACATTTTGGTGCATCTCCTTCCCACATCTGTTGAATGCCAGTGTGAGTATTCTGATACCAAGAGTGAGACCCTGTAGCACCTCTGTTTTGTAAGCTGCTTCCTCCCCACTTTTCTTTACAGAAGTTCAAACACACAGGAGAGTTAGAGCACGGTTGGTACCCTCCACACAGACTCTCAACTGTACCGTCCTCGCCACATTTGCTTTCTCTTTTTTTCCTGTTTCATTTGAAAGTCAGTTGCTGATATTATGACTTTTCACCCCTAAATAGTTCAGCCTCTGAGAATGGGGACTTTCTCTTCTGTCACCACAATACTGTCATCTCACCTAAGAAAATTAACAGCAATCCATAGTATTATCTAGATCCAGTTCATATTCCGTTCTCTCCAGTTGTCCCCAGAGTGCCTTTCATATCCTGCTTTAAAACAAAAGCTTAACACTTTTAATGGCTATGGTTCTACCTCATTTTTCTTGCCTGCCTAATATTTCACTATGGAGAGGGACCAAGTTTGACTTGGTCATTTTCCCCTCATGGGAGCATGAGGTGGACTGCAGGTTCCCACTGTTACAAACAATGCTGAGGGGCAGAGACAGGCTCACTGGGGGACAGCTGCGGGGAGGAGGTTTTGTCTTAACGGAAGGAGAAACGTCCCCCACAGTCAGCGGTGTTCTGCCAAGGAAGGGGCTCCATGTAGATGGGTGAACTTCCTGGCCTTGAGGCAGGAAGTCCCTCCATTGGCACCTTGAGGAGGGGGCTCCTGCCCCAGTGGGGTTCCTCTGGGACCCCTGAGATCTCTGCCAGCTCTGACTTGTTCCTGCCACAGAAGAGCGGTGACCAGCTCCCACCCCTGCCTAGAGAGCCTGCCCGAAGTGCCCCCAGTGGAGAGACGGGCTGGAGCTGAGGCGTGCCCTCTGCAGGTCCCTGCTGGTCGCTGTCACTCTCCAAGCCCTTCTTTCCCCACCTGCAGCGGGATGTTTTCAAAACCTAAATGGATCGGTCATTCAGGTGTAGATCCTCTGCTTAAAATCCCTCCCCGGTTTCTTGTGCTTCTGAGGATAAAGATGCAGTTTTACATTTACAGTTGAATGATTATTTGCTTAACATCTGGCCCCACCCCCCCATTAGGCATTTAGCTCCAAGAGGGCTGGAACCGGCTCCGTCTCAATCCTGCTCTGGTCCACATCTAACCTGGCACACAGAAGGTGCTTAATATACATGTATTGAATCAGTGAATCAGGGAATGAATGAATGAGGAGATGGCTCAGAGCAGGCTAGGTCTCAGTGTCATCATCAGTGTCCAGTACAGGTGACTTAGACTATCACCTCTGCCCTCTCGTCCCTGAGGCTGCCCTGGGGCAGGACCCGCTGGGACCTGGTTGGGGGCCCCCAGAGCCTCAGGTTGGGGCCTGGCCCAGCTCACCTGCCCATCCTGGTCCCTCAGCACCAGCAGCACCGGCCCGCCGTGGCCCTCCATCTGCCTGTACAGGCTCCGCAGGCTGAAGCCGTCCCTCGACGTGCAGAAGGCCAGACTCCAGGAATAGCCCCTGACTCTTGGCGGGAGGTGGAGGCTGAGCTGGGGACAGGGCTAGAGGTGAGCGAGGGATCCTGCTCCTCCCACCCTCCTTCCCCACATCCTTGGGGTCTCAGAGGACCCTCACACAGGCATGGTGCTTCACAGGTTACACAGCAGTTTACTGTTCCCAAGGGACTTTCATGCCCATTAGCAGTAGCCCCTGGAGAGAGGGATTATTGTCCCCATTTTACAGATGAGGAAACTGAGGCCCAGGGAGGTGAAGCAAGTTGCCTAAAGCCCACATGGGGAGTAAGTGGCAGAGTCGAGAGTTGAGCTCAGGTCAGTCTCTCTCGGGTCTCTCTCCCCTTGGTCATCTTGGCCCCTTGAGGCCGGAGAACAGACGAGATGCTGAATCCCTCCTTCTAATCCCCCCACCTCATCCTCCCACCCTCCACCCAGCTTTGCAATAGAGCGGGAGCGGCCGTCTTGTCCCTGGCCCCCGGCTGGGCCAGGGCAAGAGGGCAGGACCCTCAGGCTCAGGGCTGAAATCCTCGTGCCATGGGCTGTGCTCGAACCTGCCTGATCTCTGAGGCCCCCAGAACCTGGCTGGCTTCTGCCAGCGAGGGCTCCGTGGGCTCTTCAGGAGCAGGAGCTGGGGCAGGGGCTGTCTCCTCCTCTTCCTCTTCCTCTTCCTCACCCGCCTCCGCAGACAGAGCGTCCTCCACCTGGCTGGGCTGTGAGCACATGAAGAGGCCTGGTGAGTTGAAGGACAAGGAGACACCAGTTTCCACATCTCCCAAACCCAAGATCCACGCCCACCTCATCACCGCCACCCCCCACCAGACCCCTGCAATTCCCGGCCCAGCCAGAGGCAGCCAGGAAGTGTCCACAACAGACAAGAATCTGCCCGTGCCCCCAGCCCACCCCTTCCCTGGCCCCCGCCAGCTCAGGGTCAGGTCGAGGCACACGTGCCCCTCAGATGTGGCCGTCGGCCCTGCGGTTGGTCTGCCTGTCAGCTCTGGGTCCAGAGTGGGTGCCAGGGATGGAGCTCTAAGCCTGGGGGCAGGAGAGCAGGGCAGGTGGCAGCCGGGTCCTGGGAGCTGCCACTGTGTGTGTTTGCACACGAAATAACAGTGATGATAACAGCCATAGTAATAACGATCATGGCTGACATTGATCAGCACGCTCGACCAGGCCTGTGCTACTGCTCATCGTGCACAATCTGAATCTTCCCCAGAATCCTAAGAAGAATTTGCTTCTTACTACCCTCATTTTACAAAGGAAGGGAATGAGGCCCAGAGGCTCCCCTGCCAGCCGGTGAAATGTGTGTAGTCACAGGTGAGAGAGCTTGCGCAGGCTTGTGTAAAATGTGTGTGTGTCCGTGTGAAAGTGTGTGTTGGCCTGAAATAGAGTTGTGTAGGCAGATCAGTGTGAGAGGGTGTGGAGTTCACCTTTGCGTGTTCACCTGTTGATGTGTTTGTGAGTGTGAGTTGTGATTGTGTGAATACATGTGTGTCAGTGGGTGTGCATGTTGGTATATTCATTCATTCCACTGAGCTTCCACTCTCCCCCAAAGCCTGTGTTTGAGTGTGTGTGTGTGTGTGTGTGTGTACGTGCACGACTGCACACAATGACTCGGGGACTTGTCATAGCAAGGAGAGAGCTTCTCGAGGCTCACAGATGAACAGGACACCATTTCCTGTTCCCCAGGTTCAGGCCTAAGGAGAGGCTCCTAGCTGTGCGGGACTTCGGACACAGCTCCATCTGGCACCCACTCCAGGGAGGAAGGGACAGAGACATGAGTCTGTCCTCCTTGAGGGTCTCAGGACCATGGGGCCTTGGTCCTGAGTCAGTCCTCGCTCTGAACCCCAGGCCAGCTGGAGGGACTTGGAACGGGACGGATCACCTGCCTGCCTCCAGCCTGAGCCCAGGCCCCACCCCAGCAGAGGTCTCACCTCCCCCCTGGCCCCCCCACCCCCCAGCGGCCCACAGCCCAGCTGGGCCCCTTACCAGCCGAGTGTACCGCCATCGGAGACCTTTCATCCTGTCGGAGCCGCTGCGGGCTGTGAGCGAGTCCTCAGCGCTGTCGGGGAGGAATCACCGCTGGGCGCCGGGCGAGGCCTGATTGACAGGGAGAGGTCCGGGCACGGCCTGCTGGCTCCACGCCCACCGGCTGCCCTTTGCTCCCTCTCAGCTGTCACTCTCAGGCTGAGTTATCAGTGGGCGGTCTGTGAGGTCAGCAGCACTGGCATTCTAGGCCTCACTTGCATTTAGCATCCAACCCACATCAGGCACACACGGTAAATTCTGGTTGTGATTCCCTCCCACCTCCTTGCCCTCTGGCAGCCTGGCCTAGGGACTGTGGCCCTTGGTGCAGATGCCTGAGCCCCAGGCTGGGCGTCCCGGGTCTCTGGTTCCCCATAGGACCTTGGGTAAGCCCCTTTGCACCCCTGGGCCTCAGTATCCCCACATGTAATATGTTGGACCAGATCATCTCAAAGGCCCTCGCAGTACTGACAGCCTGCAGTTCAGTTCCCTCTCAAAGCTGATGAGTGCCTCCTGACAGAGGCTTAAAAGGGACAAGCCTAGGCCTGGTGGCACAGCAGTTAAGTGCGCACGTTCCCTTTCAGCAGCCCAGGGTTCACTGGTTTGGATCCCGGGTGCGAACATGGGACCTCTTGGCAAGCCATGCTGTGGCAGGCGTCCCACATACGAAGTAGAGGAAGATGGGCAGAGATGTTAGCTCAGGGCTAATCTTCCTCAAAAAAAAAAAAAAGGCCAAGCCTACACCAAATAAACAGATCTTTTAAAAAAAAAACTTTTCATTTTTCTTATTTGAAAAGCAATACATTTTTATTGCTGAAAACTTGGGAAGTCTGAAAAGGATAAAGAAAATTTTCAAATATTTATAATTTCATCTCTCAGATATAAACTCAACCCCTAAAGGTATTTTTTCAGTCTTTTGTATTTATTTCACATACATGTGTATACACACATTTATAAATAGATCATACCGTGTATAGTTTGATAAAGTGATTTTTCCACTTAACAAATGAGAATTTTTCCAATGATGTTCAGTGCCCTTTGAACTCATCATTGTTATGGCTGCATATTATTTCATCATAAGATGTATGTCGTTTATTCCTCTACTGTTGGACATTTTGTTTGCTTCTGATTTTCTGGGATTATAAGCAAAACTGTAATGAACTTCCTTGTTCATAAGTCTGATCATATCCTTTATGATAAATTTCAACATTGAACGCTGGATTACAGGCAGGTACATAGTTCTTGGTAAATGTTTCCCACAAGCTTCCTGGGTGCTTAAGGCTTATCCATGTCCAGGAACCTTTAGGGAATCGCAGGGTAATATCTTTCTGATCATCAAGTCTTACACCCTCAAACTACCAATAAGAAAACTGCCACCCAGAAAGTGGAAGGGACTTACCACAGCCACACAACAATAGACCATGGAGGGTAAGGGAGCCAGGGAGTTCAAATCCTGGTTTTGTCACTTACTTGCTGTGTGACCTTGGGCAAGTTACTTAACATCTCTGTGCATCAGTCTCCTCATCTGTGAAATACTAATATCTACCTCCTAGAGCTGTTGTAAGAGTAAATGAAAATAATGCCTGAGGAACTAGGATGCTAAGCCAGACCTCCATCCTTCTGTCCTCAGTGCGGTGAGATAGCCCGCAATGCTGGGTGTTTGGTGAGCCCTGGATAAATCACAGTGCTTATTACCATCCCTCCGCGCTGCCTCTTTGAGAATCCAGGGCTCGAATCCCTGACAAACGGCCACTCAGCCTTCCCCTGGGTACCCCAGGGACAGACAGCCACTCGGGCACCTGCAAGAGTGAGGAGCTGGGTGGTGAAGGGAAGGCAGGAATCGTGCAGATGTACTCACACTGCCGAGCCCCGGCCTCTGCCGACCTCCTCCAGCCTGTCCAGCCCGATGGCTTCCTTCGTGCGTCTCCTGGATCCCACAGAGAGGGGGCCACGTCCAGAACCGACCCTGCCCACCAGGCGGTCTCCACGCAGCAGGTCTAGCTCCACACCCTCGGCCCCGGGCAGGCGGCTGGCACCTCTGCCCCAGCCTGGCTCCAGACCCCCCTCCCTGGCTCTTATACCTGTCCTGGCCCTGTGCCCGCTCCGGTTCCAGGTGGGAAGGCCTGGCCTGGATTATCTTCCATCAGAAACTCAAATTCCACAAATACACACAAACAAGACCGTGTCACCTCCTGGCCCCAGCTCTGTCCCCACCAGCCCAAAGATACTGAACTCCTGGATGTAACCCAGAGCCTCTCACCACAGCTACCAGGTGCTACCTGGTGCCCAAAGCCCACCACTAAGACCCTCCCTTTTCGGGGTGCAGAGGCTCTAGGAAAAGGTCATTCTCCAGTCACCCTGGGCTGCAGAGGACCCAGGGCTGGGAGGCAGGGACAGGCAGCCCTGCTCTGCCCCTGCTGCTTTCCCCTCCCTCAGGTGGGGTGCTGATTCTCTCCTCGTTGGCCCATCATGACATTAGGTGACACGCACAGGAAGCCCAGTGTTTGGCACATAGTAGGCACTCATCAGTGGGGGTTACTTCTCTGTCCTTGGCTCATAGTAGGACTTCACTGAGCGCTGTGCTGTTGATTTGCAGACCCTCAAACCTGGAAGTTTGGTCCCAGTGCAAGCGGACCCCACCCGGGGCAGGATCCCCTGGGAAATTTGCCCTCTGCTGGTCCTCCAGCCTCTGTGGGGTGGGTGAGCCCACTATCCAGGGTGGATCACTCCATCTTCACACAGCTGGAAGAGACCCCTCATGCTGGGCTTTGTGGAGACAGCATGGGTCCCTCACTTCTCTGCCCCTTGCCCAGCCTCCTGGGGCGATGGCCCTCTGGAAGGGGTGGGGTGACACAAGGACTTGCATTATGGGATAAACAGGCACGTGAAGGGCCCTGTTGCACCTCAAACACGGCTGTTGCAATACGTGTTTAAACTGTAAACCACTTGAGGGTCACACTCCTGGCCCTCCCAGCTCTCTCGGCCGCTCTCCCAACCTTATTTCTCCCACACTCAGTACCTGAACCATTGGGCATTTGAGAAGCCAACGAGATTTGCCTTGCTGTCCCATTCTTTGTCCTCAAGTCCAGCAAAACCCAGAATGTGACATGTCAGGAACACCAATGGCCATATACCAGGCCCCTAAAAAGCTTCCATGATGGGGTTCTAGGCGCCAGAATGCGGACGTCCCAGCTCTGTGTGCCGCTTGCCTTCGCCTTTCTTCTCCAGCAGACCACACATGGCCTCTCAGAACTGTGATAGTCATCACCAGGAAACAAGTGAAACGTCCAACAAAAGGAGGACGGCTCGGCGGCCCATGGAACACCCACTCCACGGATTATTTCTAAGTATTAAAAATGGTGTTTACAGAGGTTTATAAATGCAAGAGGAAATGCTTCTGCTAAGTGAAAAAAAAGCAAGATATAAAATTGTACGTGCAGTACGGTTTCAGCTATGCAAAATAAACCCAAAACATTAAGAGAAAATGACTAGAATCACTTCCTGAGTACACCCTGCATTCACCGGGCTGACCGGCTTCACTGAGAACCTCAAATGGTGCTTAAGATGACCCGACATCCCCCCTCCACAGCCTGGGAAGTCTAATTTCCATTCTCTGAGGTCACTTTGACATACAGTCTCTGCCCTCCTCAAACGACTCTCTCTCCTTTGTCTCCTCACTCTTAGCTGGCGGGTCAGACTTCATTCTTCATTGAGAAGACAGAAGCCATTGGCCCTCACTCCATCACCCTGCCCACAGACCCACCTGCATCTCGCCCATCTCTTCTGCCTTCCCTCCAGGACAATGGAGGAAGGTCCCTCTTTCTTTAGAGACCCAGTCGCCCATCCCAGGATGCGTCCCTCTCCCCTTCTCCTGGCCTCGCTTCCCTCTCCGCCTCTTCCCTCTCTCACTTGTCCGTCCCTCTCTACGAGGCAGTCCCCTCCACGACAGCTCCATTTCTCTTCTCCCTACACTCCGCCTCTGTGTCGTCCTGTTCACTCCTCAATACACTCCCTCTGGATTGTCCCCCGCACTGTCCCCAGCACCCCTGCTCTCACCGAGGTTCCCAGCAGCCTCCAGGTCACCCTATGCAGGGGGCACTCTTCTGCCCTCATCTTCCTCCAGCTTCTCTGACACTTGATCCTGAGATGTCTTCCTCTTCATTTATCTACCCGAGCGCCTTGGCCTCCGAGCAACACGCTGTCTGGGTTCCCTCCTACTTCCCTGGCCGCTCCTTCTCTGTCTTGTGTGGTTGGCTTCTCCACTTCTATCCACTTTCTAGAACCAGGAATTCTTAACTTCCTGGTTCTAGGCCAGTTTTTCTTCTCTCTAGACCCTCTCCCTACGCGACCTCACCTGCTCCCATAGATTTAAATATTTTTCAAATGCTGATGACTCTTCATGACTCCAGACCCCCTGCTGCTCTGGGCCCCACATGCCTGTGTTAATTGCCTCTATGAGTTCTCCTCTTGGATGTCTCCAAGGACATCTCAGCTGAACGTGTCCACGAGAACTCTTTACTCCCCCCTCCAAGCTTGGTCTCTCTGTCCCCGACCACTCCAAGCTGGCTTCCCTGTCTTGTTAAATGGCACCATCATTCATCCTGAACTAAAGCCAGAAGCCTGGGAGTTGAACTTGACCTCATTTCTCTGATCCCTCACTTCCAACCAAGAGTGTCTGACTCTTTAAAGCTCCAGAACAGATCTCAAGAATACTTTCTTCTTTCCCTCTCCACTGCCTCCACCCCCCATCCAAGCCATCATTATCTCGCAGACACTGGTCAGTAGCCCTTAGCCCATCTTCTAGCATCTCTTCTTGCCAGCAGCTAGGGTGATCTATTTAAAACACAAATTAGATTATATCATGCGCCTGATTACAGCCTCCAATGGCTTGTCATTGCATCAAGAATGAAGCCCCTGCCCAGGGCCGGCCTTGGCTCCGGCTGTCCACTCCAGCTTTATCTTGTCCGACTCCTTCCATCACCCATCAACTTCCAGTCACATTGACCTTCTCACTTCCTTGAACACCTATCAGGCTTGTTCGTTCTTCAGGGCCTTTGATCTTGTTATTCCTTCTGCCTGGAATTCTCTTACTCCAGTGCTTTGAATAACTCAGTTTAAATGTCACCTCCTCAGGGAAGCCTCTCTGACTGCCCTATTTCAAGCAGGTTCCCCTACTAATTCCTCTAATCCTCCCTCAGCCAGTGGTTTGTTTCTTTCATGGTTTTCCTAATGAAGAAAACCTTTTAAAAAAATCACCTCTTCTTTGAAGCCTTCCAGGATTTAGTTTTCATTCAGTTTCCATCCTGTTGGTCAATTTAGCAGCTTGAATGAGAGAAAATAAACTGTTTTTCCACTGGGTAATAGTATCTTCATTTCTTACAATCATTTAATGCTTCATTCCTTGTTGAGTAGAACTTTTTACAGCACACACTGTGTACCCGAGCTGGACACAGCCCCATAGTGCAGCATAACAGGCTCTGAGATAAGATGGCCCTGGGTTCAGATCAGTCCCAGTTTTGCCACTTCCAAGATATATGACCTTGGACAAGCATTCCAGTTGTCCATTGCTACATAACAAACTACCCCAAAACTTAGTGCTTAAAACAACAATATTTATTTTGCAGTTTGGGACAGCTCATTTCTGTTCCACTTGGCATCAGCCAGGGCAGCCCCAGGGCTGGGGCTGAGTCAACTGAAGGTTCGCTCCCTCACATGTCTGCTGGGTGGTGGGGCTGGGAGCAGGAGCTGCTGGTTGGAACACCTGCATGCGGCGTCCATGAGGCGTGGCCTCCTCCCAACATGGTGGCTGGGCTCCCGCGGTGAGTGGATGGAGAGAGAGAGAGACTGAGCCTGACAGAGCCATATTGCCTTTTATGACCTAGCCTTGGAAGTCACATGTCACTTCTGCCCGTCTCTGTTGGTTGAGCCGTCACAAAGGTCTGTTCAGGTTCAAGGGGAGGGAACATGGACCCCGTCACTCAGTTGGAAGAGTGTCAATGCCACATTGTAAAAAGAGTAATTGGGATGGGCTCTATATGGCCGTGCCTATTTTTGGAAAATACAATCAGCCACAGAAGTTCCTAACCTTTCTGAGACCCTCTACAGAAGTGTTGGGCACAGAGCCTGGCATGAATGAGTGCCCACGGGTCACGACACGGCAGATGGGCTCCCTGCCTGCGTGCAGTTTCCCTGGTCTGAATGGAGCCTGAGTCCAGAGCCCCTACCTTGGCCCCACCCAACCCCCAGGCCCCTCCCCACCAGGCTCTGCTGGGGCTTCAATGTAGATTCCTGGCTCCCCAAATCCAAAGACCCTCAGAGCAGGAAGGGCCCTCAGCCCCCTGTTCAGCCGTGAGTGTGGGGGCCCAGACAGGATATGTGGTAAAGCCAGGACTCAGGCCCAGGTCCAAGTGGGGAGATCCAGGCCACTCTAATCTCAGGACCACGGGCGTGGCCAGGGGTGTGTCAGGAGTGGATGAGCCAGCCTGGTCTAGCATGTCCCCTGCCTGGAGTCACACCCTCCGACATCTCCAAGCCCTCGTTCTGCATAGGGGGAGAAAATGAAGCACAGAGAGGGTAAACAATTTCCAAGAGCTACACAGCAGCTCTCTGTGCCAGAGCAGAACAGCCTACAAGAAACAGAGACATCAGAGCTGAAGGTCCCTGCCATCTGCTACAACAGACCAGACCAGGTGGGGACTTGGAGGCCCAGGAAGTGGGAGGGCTGGCCTTGGCCCCCTGTGCCACACCATGCCACCTTGCTTGTGATGAATCTTTTGTGGCCCATCTCCTCCTGTGCTGTGTGCTCCATGAGATCAGGAACGCACCACTGATGAGTCCACTGCTGTGTCCCTTAGTGTCCTACCTGGTGCCTGTGGACTGGGAGAGCGGACAGTGCATGGGGGCAGGGGAACTGGTGCCTTGCCCAGGGGGTGGGAACGCCCCTGAAGAAGTGTTTGTGGAGAACCTGCTGCGCGGCCCTGCTCTTTACCTGGCTCCTGGGGGCACCTGGAGGAAGGATCTGAGGGTGGAGGGTGCACTCACACACCTGGACACACCTAGATCAGGATGAGAGGTGAGAGGGCACACCGCAGGGGTGCATTCACTGCTGCGGGGGAGGTGGGACAGGAACAGAGAAGTGGACCTGGTACCAGCCGCGTGTCAAGGGCAGGAGGAGGTGAAGGAACAGGATTGGGAGAGGAGGAGGAGGAAAAGGAGTAGGAAAAGGGGGAACGGAGGAGGAAAAGGCGGGAAGGGAGGAAGACGGGAAGAAGAAACTGCAGAGGGGTAAACACAGCCCTGCCCACCCCTCCACCCCACCCCCCACCCCTCACCCCCCACCCCCCGCCCCGGCAAGGGAGTGCCACCCTAACGGTGAGCGCCCACCTGCGCAGCAGCCAAAGGGCTGACTCTGGGGCTGCCCCGCAGTGGCTCGGCGATGGGGAGTAGCAGCGCGGAGCGGGGGAGGGGACGGGGGCGGGGCAGGTGTGACAGACACATGGGAAAATCAACAACCCGGCCAGGAGCCGTGGAGACAGCCCTGGAAGAAAAGACAGACGCCCACCAGAGCCGGGGCTCAGGGGTCGGCCGGAGTTGCTCTTGGTGGGGGACATGCGGGGATCGGGGCAACCAGCCCACCGGGGCCAGAGCCTATTCCCACAGCATCGTTGCTCTGACACCTCGTAATAGGTCTTCTCCATTTTAGCCTGCAGAGCCTCAAACGCGGGACGGCGAGGAGGGAGCCCGCCTGCAACCGCCGCCGGTCAGGGTGCAGAGCCGGGCGCGCATCCCGGGCGCCACGGTCCCTACGCCGGTCAGAGGGAAGCCGAGGCAGGAGAGGCGGAGCGCGCCCCGCAGGAGTGAGGTTTGGGCTCCGTCCTGGCTCTGCCACTGACCTTGGGCTTATCGCGCGCCCTGCCCCGGCTTCAGTTTGCGCATCTGCACAATGGGATAATGGGTCTTGCTTTGCTAGGTTAAGAGGGGCGGAGTTCGCGCACGCTCCGCACAGCCGCGAGGGGCGAGGGACCGGGAGTGTATATGGATGCTGGCTCCTGCGCTCTGGGGTCCGCCCGGCCTCCGCCTGCGAGTCCCCGCTCTCGCCGCTCGCGCGGCTCCTGCCCGCACGCTGGGCGCAGGGGCGCCTCCGCCGGGTGCGTTGCCCAGACCCGCAGGGGAGGGGGCGGCGGCGGAGCGGGGGAGGAGGGAGCCCGGGCCGCGGCCGCCCCGGCCCGCCTGACCCTCGAGGGGGTCGCTGTTGCCTCGCAGATCCCTCCCTCGCTCGCTGCCTGCGTCCCTCCCTACCGCTCCCGCCGCGTCCGCCTTTTGTTCGCGGAGCCGCGCGCCCCCGAGCCGAGGCGGCGGGGCGGGGAGCTGGCGGGGCTGCGCGGGGGGCGGGCCGCGCCGGGCGGAGCCGGGGCCCGGGCCGCAGCCGGACTCGGAGCCCGAGGGAGCGATCGGCGCGCAGGCAGCCGGGGCCCGGGCGCGCTCCGGGGGCGCGGCGAGGCAGAGGGGGCGGGCGCCGGGCGGAGCCGGAGCCGGAGCCGAGGCGCCTGGAGGCGATCAGGCCGCGCTCTCCGAGCTCAGAGCAGCGGAGAGACCGTGCGGCGGGGGTCGGGGCCGGAGCGCAGCCCCGGGGCTGAGGGGGGCCGAGAGGAGCTGCGGCCCGAGCGGCCCGAGCGGCGCCGGGAGCCTCCCCAGGGGCGCGGAGGCCGGGCGGGCCCGGGCCATGCGCGCCGCTCTCTGAGGCCGAGGGAGGCCGAGATGGAGGCGCCGGCGGGGGAGCCCCCGGCTCGGGGCTGCGGCCCCCCGCCCGCGCCCGTCCCGGAGAGGAAGAAGAGCCACCGCGCGCCGTCGCCGGCCCGGCCCAAGGACGTGGCCGGCTGGTCGCTGGCCAAGGGCCGCCGCGGCCCAGGCCCGGGTGCCGCAGCCGCCTGCAGCGCCGCGTCGTCCGCGCGGCCCGACAAGAAGGGGCGCGCGGTGGCGCCCGGGGCGCGGGGCGCAGGGACGCGGGTGGCCGGGGTCCGCACCGGGGTCCGCGCCAAGGGCCGCCCGCGCCCGGGTGCCGGGCCGCGCCCGCCACCACCGCCGCCCAGCCTCACTGACAGCAGCTCGGAGGTGTCGGACTGCGCGTCGGAGGAGGCGCGCCTGCTGGGCCTGGAGCTGGCGCTGAGCAGCGACGCCGAGTCGGCGGCCGGGGGCCCGGCGGGGGCCCGCCCCGGGCAGCCGCCCCAGCCCGCGCCGCCTGCACAGCAGCCTCCGCGGCCGCCCGCCTCCCCCGATGAGCCGTCGGTGGCCGCGTCGTCGGTGGGCAGCAGCCGCCTGCCACTCAGCACCTCGCTCGCCTTCTCCGACCTCACCGAGGAGATGCTGGACTGCGGGCCCGGCGGCTTCGTGCGAGAGCTGGAGGAGCTGCGCTCGGAGAACGACTATCTCAAGGTGGGCGCGCTGAGGGCCGAGAGGGGGGCCGCGGGAGGCGCTGGTTGTCACAACTGCACGGGCCTGAGGCCCCGGCCGGCCCGCTGTCCCACTGAACGAGCTGGAAGAGGGGGCCTGAACCCTTGGGGACCACCCTTAGGTCGATTTAGGGTCCCCTCACATTCCACCTCCCGTTTTATTTGGGAAACCCTTTCCTGGGGAGGAACCTGGGTGAGGAGACTGGCCAAGGGCCGTTATCCGGGGAGGGGGGTCTTGAGAAAACTGCCCTGGAGGGTGCCTAGATGCTTCACTTGGGGTGGCGGTGGGGGCTGGACCTCTGCGTTCAGCTGCTTGGAACCCCCACCCCAGGTCAGAGGCCAGCCCTTTGGTGGCTCTTCTTTCTGGAACGGGCACTGTGTGCACTCCTGCCGGGGCACCTGTGGCCCTCCCCTGCCAAGAAGAGGCCAGAACACCATCCTGAGGCTTTACCCAGGGCTTTCCCCAGCACAGGCCTGTCCCCGCCTACCTTTCAGGGCGGGTCCATTTGAAAGCATGACATCTGGGAACATCCCCTTGGCCAGAGTCCGACTTCCGCCCAGTCTAACGGTCCCACAGCCTGGAAGGATGAGGTCGTGGGAGAACCGGTTCAGAGGCAGCTTCCTAAATCCCAGGATGTTGTCTTCTGCCCTCTCTGGGACAGGCCCTGTACCCACAGCAGCCCCATTGGCCCCTCATGGCCAGTGCCCATGGCCTTCCCACCTTCCCAGTGAGAGGAGGGGAGCTGCTCTTCCGAAAGGGGCATTCCCTCTGGGCATGTGGGGACCTGAGAGCTTCTCGGAGAGCAAGCTTTGTCGTCACCCTTTCAGTGGATGTGGGCACCCACTGGGTGCAGGCTCCGTCTGCCCACTCCCTGGCGCGTGGCGGCCTTAGGGACAGCCCAGCCCTTGTGTGTCGACCTTGACCCGGGAGACTGGAAGCTTCATGGGCTCTACTGCCGCTGGCTGGGTGTAGTTTTGGAAGAGGCTGAAATGTTACCTCTTCTTGTCAGTTGATGGCCTGGCACAACACCCAGAGTCCCCCTGGCCGAGAGCCACCAAATGAACACCACTCTGCTGATTTATGTCTGCCCGGCAACACTCAGCTTTGCGTTGTGGCTCTTCTGGCCAAATAGGTTTCTCTCTCATTAGAGTTTTGGGGTCTTGTTCAACTGTGTTTCCCCCAGAATCTGCTATCCACCACGTCTTCAGTATATGCTTGTGGACTACAAGGACAGTCTCTGTCCCAATCAAGATAATCCACCCCTTCAGCCTCTAACCTTTCCCCAAGCCAGGTCTCAGTTTCCTTATCTGTTAAATGGGAGGGTAAGTCTTCCTGAAGGCCCTGTTCAGTGTTGAGAGTCGGGGGTTCAGTCAGCTCCTAGTCTTCAGAAGCCAGTGGTGGGGAGAGGCCGAGTGGAGGGTGGGGAAGGGGAGGGAGGCCCCAGAAAGAGGCCTGCCCTGCCCTCTTGGGCTCGGAGCTGCTTCCGTAGTCCGTGCCTGAGCCGCTCGCAGCCCAGCCCCCGAGTCCTCGCCTCCACCTCCTGGCCCTCTGGTTCACCCTGGCAAGTGGAGGGGAGGTTCTTCAGGGTCTGCTCGTGCTCCCACCCCTGTGGGCGCCTGTCCTCCCGGGAAGTCAGCAGGCAGAGCTCTGGAGTCTGTCTGAGCCACTCATGACTGTCAAGGTGGAAAATAGTCCTAGAAGTCTGGTGCTCGAACCCAGGGTCTCACAGGGGCCAGGGCCTGGCTGGGGACGTCCTACTGCCCGGGCCAGGGCTGGGCCTCAGTGTCCACTCAGTGTTTCAGGCTTCATGCGCAGACCTCAGGCCACTGCTGGATCTCGGGTCTGTAGCTTCCAGGCTGTGTGATTTGGGCAAGTTACTTAATGTCTCTGGACCTTAGTTTCCTCACTGTAAAAAGGCAACCCTACATCTTCCAACCTTAAGGGTTGAGATAGTGTGTGCAGACACCACCAGAGCGCCTGGCGTGTTATGAGCCTCAGATGAGGGCAGTTGTGATCACTGCTGTTCTCAAGCGGCACGTGACCTGTTCCGTGTTCTCCGTGGATGCCATGGGGGCAGAGTAGCTCCTCCTCCCCCCTGGAAGCAGGCCTGGCTCTTCCTCCTGGCCCCTCATTCATTCATTCACCAACTATTTGTTTAGTGCCTAGCACAGATCTGGGGCTGCCCCCGCGGACAAGGATGAAGTGTCTGTTTTCACGGCGTTTTGAGCGTAGTGGGGGACTCTGGGATTCAACAATAGCCGTGCGAGACATCACCACGTGCATCGTGACGAGGGTGGAGAAGCACACGGCGCGCCAGGAACACATGGAGGTGGCGCTGGGGTGCTTGAGGAGGCCAAGGGCTGAGGGACGAGATGGAGCCAACTGCATAAGGAGATGGAGCAGGAACATTCCAGGCTCAGGGAAGTAGGAAAATTTGATTTCAAGGAACAGCACCGAGGCTGGAGAGCAGAGGGAGGCGGGGCGGGAGAGGCGAGCCGGCCGGCCTGTGCGGTCCTTGCTGTGTACACTCGCATCGGTCTACGAACCTCCCTAGAGCCTTGTTTCACCCACCTGCACCTCACAGAGGGACTGGAGGCCTAGAGGCCGCGGACGTGGCCCCTCAATGAGGGGGCTTCTCTGGGAGGGAGGTGTCTTTGGTCCACTCTGCAGATGGGTAAACGGTGGCCGCAGGGAAGAGACTTGCTGCAGGTCCCGAGCCGGCTCTGCAGGCAGCCAGGGCTTGGAGTGAGAGCGTCCTGCCCCTCTGGGCCACTTTGCTTCTCAGATGCAGAAACTGAGTTACCAGGGGAAGGACTCCAGATCCCCAGCGGGTCCCCTGCAGGCCTCATGCCGCCCGGGGTTGAGTCCCACCGAGTCCGATGGGGCCTTCTCTGGGTTCACCTGCCAGCTGGTGGGGGGCCCTGGGAACTGTCAACTGGGAAGGCCTCTCGGGTGATGGCAGATCTCCTGTTGCATGAGGCCGCTCTGGGGCCCGGGAGCGGCAAGTGTAACCAGGGCGGCTGTCTCCCAGTGAGACGGTGGAAGGAGCTGCTACAGAGAAGGGAGTGAGCTCGCTGTCGCTTGAGTTATTCAAAGAGAGGCTTCATGGCCTTGCATGTTTGGATAAAGACATAGGGTTGGTGGAAAGCAGCTTGTAAACAGTACAAAATGTTGGCAGTGGTGATTACTTGAGGACGATTCACGGGGAGATTTGTGTGGTAGCTACGGCAGAGCTGCCTGACCTCAGGGTCCGTTCCAGGCAAGGAAGTCTGAAGGTTATTAATGTTTGAGGTTCCAGGATTCTAAGGTGCACTTTTAGCTGCAGAGCACACACATTGACCGTGTTTGGCGTTCAAGCCCCTGGTGGTCTGAGGTCTTCCAGCTCCCCATCACCACTAACTGTCGCCAGTGTACCATGTGGTGAGGACATGCTGGCAGCCCACTGGGTGTGGATGGATGAATCTGAGAGCTGGAGCCCAAAGACCTGCCTTTGAGACCTGACCCTGCCATTTACTGTGTGGCCATGGGCAAGTCACTTGGCCTCTCAGAGCGACTGCCTTGTTTTCTATCTATATAATGAAGATGATGGAACTTGCCTGGACAACTTCATAGGATTGTTTTCGGGAATCAAGGAGGTAGGAATAGACAAGAAAACATTTTGCAAGCAGTGAAATCCTGCATCTCTTGAGGAATTGTTAGCCAATGAGCAGACAGGATGTCTATGTCTTCATTCTTGGAGGAGCTGGGAGAAGCCAGGAGGGTGGATCCCCTTAACTTTAGGATGCTAATAAATCAGGAGCTGCTCCGGAGAGGACAAGAGGGTGTGACCATGTTCCGTGCTGTGTGGGCTCCATGAGGCAAGGCCTCCCCACTGGCTGGGAGGTTCTAGATGTGAGGGTTTGAAGTGCAGCCAGTCTAGGGGTCCAAAAGGGCCCAGAGGCACATCTGATCCACCCCCCATTCCCATTGTACAGTTGGGTAAATGGAGGCTCCGGGTCACACAGCCAGGACTCCAAACCTGGTTGTGCTCACCCTGGGTCCTGTTCTTTGCACAGTGTGACCGGAGCCGTGAGCTGCTGGCTGCTCACAGTGTGTCTAGTTTGGGACACAGGTTGCTGAGATTCCGGAATCCTGTTGTGTGCCCGGCTCTAGGCTAAGACTTGTTGGGAGCAAGTGGAGAATAACATATGCTGTAGCTGGGGGCCTGGAGCTGCAGGCAGGGCTGGGAGACGTGTGTGTGTGCGTGTGTGTGTGTGTGTGTGTGTGTGTTTGTGTGTGTTCCTTGCACCAAGGCACAGTGCGATTGGGACTGGAGCGTCTGAGATCCTGGAGGAAGTAATGGGGCTTTGGATCCAGGCTTAAGGGTTAGATAATGGTTAGGTTGGACCCCAGAGTGCTGGGATATTAGAGCTGGCCTGGGACCCCCAGACCACTGTCCCCTGGACATCTATGGTTCTTGTCTCACGAATGCTCTCAACTATTGATTGCGTCCTGGGTTAAATAAGCCCTTTACTGCTCCCAGCAGACCTGTGTGGAGGGTTCTGATATCAGACCCATTTGACAGATGAAGAAACTGAGAGGCTATGTAACACATTCAAGACTGCACAGCTGAGACACTTGGGAACCCCACTAGACAACCCTAAGGAGCCCCCTGCCTCCGTCTCTTCCACCCTCTGCTGTGCAGGAGGCAGCCTGTGCCTCCGAGTTTCACAGAGCAGGGTTCTCACCTGTTATAGGCTGTGTGATGCCGGGTGAGATACTCAGCCTTTCTGAGCCTCTGTTTCTTCTTCTGTAAAATGGGGGATGAGCACGAGCAGAGTCAGGGGGACCCTTCGCAGTGTGATGCCGCAGATCAAGTGCATGGTAAATGTTAGCACCTGTCCCAGTCAGCGCTTGTCCCTTACCTGCCTCTCCAAGCGTTTATTCATTTGTTAAACACTTATTTTCTGAGCGCGCCCTGGGTGCCAGGCCCTGTGTCTGATGTCTGGCCCAGTGGCCGGCAAATTGTGAAGTTCTCAGCTCCCAGGAGCGGGGAGGGCCAGGGGGGCTCCAGTCTATCTGTCACTGGGTTGGGGAGGGGGTCGTCATCCTGATTAGCAAAGCTCCTGGCTGGTCCTTGCTCTGAGCCCCAACCCTCCTCGTGGTGGCTGAGAGCTGGTCTGGAAGAAGCTGCCCTGAGTCCTGGGTCTTTAAGAATCCTCAGCGGTCTGTGTGTCACGGGGGGAGGCGTGCACCTCCAGCGAGATGGAAAATGGAAAATGTGAGGCAGCGGCTGCTGAGGCCTGGGGGGACCACGGAGCTCCCAGGGCTCCCAGCATTCCTCGCAGAGGGGCTGGGCCTGTGTCCCTGGGCATACTCTCTCTTGCACACTCAAACCCACACACATGTATTCACAGCTCGTGCTCAGAGATCCACAACCACTCACACACATCTTACATACACATGCAGACACCACATCCAGCTTGTGTGGTATGCTTCCAGAAGCACAACTTCTGACATATTTGAGAGGATACACGCTCAGAGAAGTACACAAACCCATGCAGACACACAACCTCCTGTGTCATCACACCCACACGTTACCAAAGAGACACAACAGAGACTCACACCATCTTGGAGACCCCTGGCTCAGAAACATAGCCTCACACACATCTTACACCCCCAGACACTCTTGGCTGTGTCCCAGAGATGGACGTGCAGCCTGGAGATGCCCTCAGACATATGGGAAGTACACATACACATGCAGGCGCCCGCACAAACCCACGCAGACTCATTACACACAGGCGCCAGCATCCACGGAAATCCACAGATGCGCCCCTGCCAGGCAGGCACAGAGACAAGCGTGTCACCCAGATGCCCCCACTGCCTCTTCCACAAAGCCAGCACCAGAGGCCCTTGCACACCTACCGGGCACAGACACACACCCAGGAGACACTCACACACATGTGAGCAGGGACACGAGCACAGAGCTCTCAGATGTCAGGCCTGTAGCATGTGCTAATGGGGCCCAGAGGCTCACACACCAGGGTAACCAGACACAGACACACAGAGACTGTGTGACATTTCACCCCCACAGAAACACAGGAAATCCTGGCCCGTGGCTCCCTGGAGCTGATGAGTACAACTGGTGCTTTCAGCCCCTCCACAAGGCTTCCTTCCACAGGGCTGCTGGGAGCAGGGAGGAGTGTGGCCCGAGCTTGAGTTTGTAACCTCCTGGGTCTGCACTAAAGGCCCCTGATGCCAGCACTGGGGCCTGGGCCCAGTGGGCTGAGTGCAATGGAGCAGTTGTCAGGCCTGCGCACCGGAGAAACAGTGCCCGGGGGCAACTCCCTTCTAATCTCCTAGGAATTTCCTGCTTGCCCTCATCTCCCCCTCCTCCCCTTCTCTCTTTGCTGGGGGCTGTGATGGGCCATGCCACTCCCATCCCTAAAGGGTGCCTGGTTCTCCCTGGGAAACAGAAGGGAGCCAGGGTAGAGGAGGCTGGAGATGCTGTGGGCACTCAGAGGAGGAGCCATTAGAGATGAGGAGTTAGCATTGAGAGGCTGCCTGTGTGCCTAGCTGCTGAACAGTGGCTGGCACTTCACAGGGACTCAATAAATATTTGTTGCGTGGTTGAATGAGGGAGAGGCTGGGAAGGGGAGTTGGTCCTGCTTGAGAAGGGCATTGAATG